AGATTTGTAGTCCTCTATAGAGGGTCCCATTCTGCCTTGATGCAATGCAGAATGGGACCTGCTATATAGCACTACAAATACCAGCAGTACTTTAAACAGCATGTCCATCAGTTGGGCTACAAAAAATAATTCTTTTATTTAATAACTTACCTTCACCTCTTCTGGCTGTTTTCTGGTGGGGGAGGCTGCAGAAAAACGTTTGTGTGTGTGTGTGTATATACTGCTTACTATTTATTTTGTTATTGAAGTGATTTAATTTAGAGGTTATAATCTTTCCCCACTCTAAAACTAAAAAAATTGTTTCACTTTATAAAGTTTAGGTCCACTTAAAACTAATTAAGTCTCACAGAGTATGATAAAGAATGCTGGCTTTGGGATCTCATTGCCATCATAACACATTCTACTAGCTTTAAAGTGACCAATCTGGTGCTTCTTCCAAATTGTCTATAAAGTGAACCTGTGTATTGCCCATATAGAGAAAAGTAACAGTTTCACTTTATTCTGCCCTAACCAGCATCCTTTTCTTCACTACTCTGCTGCTTTGTTTAGCTGCCAGCAGCAGGAGAAGCCGCTCATGTTGTAGCTTAGAAAGGGCTATGGACTACATGTGATAGTGCTGGTATATGGTGGTTAGCCCAGTGCTCTCGCATGGTATGAGCCACACACTCTTCTATATGCAAATGTACCAATTATTTTCTTTGCTCCCAGTTCCTGCTTCTACTTCAGCGTTGCTATCAATTTTGGATGTTAAGATTATTTTTGTGGGTCAACTAGTGGATATTTTCAAGATGTGGCCACACACATACATAAAACAGACCTGTAACATCTGAGTGCTTGGTCCAGATCTGGATGAAAGTATGTTTCTTTTATGTAACTTTTGTACATTGACTCTTAATAATCAATCTGCAAACTGTTTGTGAGTGATACAAAATCACTTTTTCTTATATTCTCTCTTTCAGCAACTTTTTCTGTGCAATATTGATGCTGAAAGTAAAAGCATCAGCGTGGAGCAACTCTTGGTTGAGTTAAAGGCTGGAGGAATAAGCAGAGAACATGAAGAAGCTGCACAACTGCAGTTAAGTCACATTAAGAAGCTGGATATCCTTGATTTCCTCACATATTTGCCACTTTTTGTCCTTATTCATAACTCTGTTATATCCAATCCCTTAGATGACTCCAGAAAAATATGAACAAATTTGAAAAATATGTTTATACTTTGGTATTACCAGACATTTATATCCGTACAAGGGAGCGTATCTAATGACCATAGAAGTCAGAGGCAATGAGTGTAAACACCAAATACCATTAATATTGAAGTAACTTTCATGATATTACTTAGGTGTAGGTACCTTACATGTACAATAGTGGGCTCCGTTTCTGTATCAGTGTATTTAAACAATTGATTGTAAGTTAAACCAGAGCCAAGTTGTTAAGCGCGTCTATTCCTTATAAAGGGCTTGCATATATGTCAGCGCATGTGCATGGGATAACAGTGATGAAACTTGTTAGAACATGAGTGATAATTCTATTATAACTTAGTCTTGTTTGAATTCTAGTAAAATCAGCTGATTTCAGTAGACTTTAAATATACTACCCTCCGTGTTCCAATTCTTATAATACCTGCTGCTAGTTTATGATGCCTGACAATGTTGACCTTACTAAATGTGATTGTTATTTGCAGTTTATAGTTTTGGATTCTGTTTTTTATTTTTTTATTTTATAGATTCTTAAAAAATGTGCATGGACTATATTATTATCTTAAAGTGACATTAAAGTCAAATATTTTTTCTTTCCCCCCAATGATAATTAAAGCACTTACCTTAAATTATGTTTCTTAATCCGATCTTCTTCTTTCCTGTCGTTTTCATCTGTCCCTCCAGCGCTGCTGTGGGTCTCCGATTCAGCGCTGACTCCTCTGAGCTTGCTGGCACTTCCTGTCCCATGGTGTCTGCATGCAGGTGCACGCATCCATATACTTACCTTGTGTCTCTCCTCGTCGCCCCGGCTGAAAATGTGAAGATGCTTTGCGGCCGCCCGAGAATTTTTACATTTTCGGACTTAAGCACGGGGGGAAGACAGAGGTACATTTAAACCGCTTTTAAAGCAATTTTGTTTTAGTTTTTTTACACTTTTTGCATATATCTACTGCTTGCTAGCAGTAGATATATGCAAAAACACCGGAGGGTTTAACAACCCTTTAACTAACCTGATTCTGTGAATGCTAAATAAAACTAAATGCTAAATAAAACCTGAATATGAAAGTGAAGTAAAACTGCAAAACAAAATGGTTCACAATACACCAATTGGCTGGAGAGTAGCTAAACACTTAACTACTCCTCTGCCATACAGACACATTTTTGCAACTGTTTGAAAGTGAGAACTCCAAATAGTGGGGTGTGTATTTGCTTGGGGTGGGGACAGTTTGCAAAGTGTATGTTACCTTTTTCAGTTACCCTTAAGCATGAGATGACAGTAAAATGACTTAAATGAGAATGTACGTAAAGAAAATCAAAATCCGCATTGCTTCGGCTGGCTGCCTTAGGCTGAGACTGGACCTACATCTGTAATAGGCCTGGAACAGCGAGCATCAAAGCAGAAATATTGATTAACTTTCATAAAATATGCAAAGACTTGGCAAGACATCCTATAACATTTATCAAACAGTACCCAGTTGCTGTTTGGGACCAAGTTTACCTGTAGACTTTGTTATCTTGCTGTTTCCGGAGCAGGTGGCCTTATTCACTCTTAGGTTGGAGAAATTTGGAACAGTTCTTGTTAGTAATCTTAGATAGCACCTGCTTTAATCATATCAGATAATTATATCAAAGTAAAGAGGTTATATACACCTGCACAACAAGTTACAATTAAGATGTAATGTCAAATGATTTTAGAGAGAGAGAGAGAGAGACACACACACACACACACACACACAGAAATGTACTGTATATAAACTATTTTTTACATTGTCGATCTAAAAATCACAGTGAACACTGAGAGAACAACAGACAGTAATAGATGAGGACATCTGGGTATAGTTCATGAAGGGGCTAGTAGCCCTTCTCATTCTGGGGGCCTAAAATTAATTCCCTATGCATTATGTTAAGTTTCAAAGCCTCCTGAAAAAAGACAGATCCCTTTGAGGGTTCAGCAGTATCATTCATCTTTCAGTACACATTGGCTGGTACACGATACTGCACTTTTGATGATAGCCTAAGCATTTGCACAGATATACTGTATATATGAAACATCTACAGCTAGTTCACTTAGCAAAAATACCTGGTGATGTGCATGGGAAAACATTTTTTGGGGCTTGCCCTTGAGCGGATGATTGAAATCAGCACAGCTTTACCACATACACTAAGCTTTGCAATGTGAATTTTCATTTAGCTTAATGAATGAGGTGAAGTTGTGCTTCAATCATCAATTATGTATGAGAAATATTATTTTTTATTTCTTGCACATCATTAAGTAATCTTTGCAAAATGATTTTTCACTTAGCTTTACCTCATTCACTAAGCTAAATGAAAATTCACTTTGCACAGAGTGAACACGCTCTACTACTTTAGTAAATCAACTCATATAATTAGGGCTTCAAATATGTTTTCTGTGAAATAACTACTGTGTACAAATGGTTTTCAGATGTTATCAGAACTGAAGCCCGCTATGCATATAACAAAGGGAATATATGTTTGGCACTAGCTATTTGTACTGTACAGTGAACTCAAATAAAGAGTGGAAAACAAGTTTGAATGAAAGATAAATGCCTCATTCTTAGAAAAAAGGCTACTGGCAGTTTGTTTGTAGCAGAAGTATTTTTTCCTGTTAGCCAAGAAGATAGCTGCCTTAATCAGATATCATGACCCATTCAGAATACTCAGTGAAGAGTTGCCTGGAAATGCAGATTCATTAATGAACAAAGGCCCTTATTTTGCAGAATAATGAGCAATTTCTGAACTCCTAATTATGATTAGAAGCTCAAGATATGAATCCAAAAGAACTTCATCGTTAATTATGAACGATGAACAGATTCAGTCTGGTCTAAATTTATCTGCTCTATATACAAGTTTCATTTTATTATGAACGTAATCCACTATGTTTTAGGAAATAATGAATGTTGGATTTAAAAGAATTAGGGCATTAAACATTTTTTCTGAATATAATTTTTATATTTATTCATTTTATTTCTTACAGCAAATATTCATATTTTTTTGCTTGGAACAGTTACTTTTTCTATTGCATGGCCCCTGTTTTTATTTAAGATAAGCTAAAAATTAGATATTCTTAATGCTCTTTTGAATAATATATAAAACCCAACTCCAGTCTAAATCTTTTTGGAGTTTTGGGTTGAGTTGTGGAAGATGAGTAAACTCTGTCAATTTTGTATTGCTGTTTGTAACCACATTGGAGAGATATACCTCACTTATTGTCCTTGTGATAGCTGGAGAAGAAATAATGGGGTCTATTCACGAAGCTGCCGAGGGCAGCCGAGTGAATGACCGATCTGAAGTGAAATGAGCCGAACACTGTTCGGCTATTCACTTCAGGCTGGTACGGCTAATTTCAGCCGTACATCGGCTGAAATCAGCCGTACATCGGCTTGCTTCATGTGGCTAGAGGAGACCTGATGGAGAACTGCAGGTCCCCTCTGCTGATTGACAGCAGCAGTGGGTGGGTGCAATAGCTAGTTTGCACTTGGCTATTGCAAATTGAAATAGCCAATAGGAATCTAGCTATGCATTCCCATGGTTAATTCTTTTTTTTTATTATTCTGAAGGCAGCCAACGGCTCCATAGTTACATAGTTACATAGTATTTGAGGTTGAATAAAGACATATGTCCATCAAGTCCAACCTATTGTGTGTGTGTGTGTAAAGATCCCCGTGTCATCTCGTTTTTAGGAGTACTTGTACCCCTGTATATTACCTTTTCTCAGGAAATCGTCCAAAACACTGTCAGAATAAAAAAAAAAAAGAAGAAAGCAGGGAAAGGTTTACCTTTCTGGGAGAAAGTGTTTCTCTCCCGGGTGGCCGGGAGCGGCTATCTAATAACAGGAGACTCCTGCAGCGCTAGGGAGAGTTGGGCTGCCTGGAGATCAGTATCCCTGGTTACCTGGTAACCAGGGACGCTGATCTCTCTGCAAGTGGCCGGAGCCAACTGTAAGATCATGACTGGCTCCACCCAGCTGTCAGAAGCAGGCTGACGGCCGGCCGCCCGGCCAGCTTCGCCTTTCACCTCGGCTCAGTCGAGCCAAGGCATATGCCTTCGGCTCGACTGAGCTGGCCGGACTCTTTCATTCAATGGAGGACACAGTTCTGCTTTAGATCATCACCTACTGGGTATAGTGCCACCTGCATGACTAAGGCATACAAAATCACCAGTACTTCAGACATGTAACCACGTCTCACAAATTTATTGTGAAGAACAGTGTCATAGACATATACTGTACACCATATGTGACGCTGTTCTTCACTATTACATGTCTGGAGTACTTGTTATTTTGTATTCTGCTGTCATAAAAAATAGACCCAAAAGTAGTATTAAACCCTCTGCCTTTTTTAAAAGTGTACTGGGTAAAATTAAGCAGTGTATCATTACTCAGTAAATTTTTTCCTTAAATCTGTGCCAAACATTTAATTACCCTACCTGCTGTTTTGCTTTGGACTACAAATCCCCAAGACCAGCCCCCAAAATGTAAAACTTATCCCAAGGACGAGCCCATGCTTGGCAAAATTTAAATTTCTATTTGTTGTCTTGATTCTTGCAGTAAAGCTCAAGGAAACTGACCCAGTAGCATTTAAAGAAAACTATGGGGTTAGGGCTTTCCCCCATAGTTCTCCTAAGGGTAACGGGAGGACACAAACTAGCATCCTCCCGTCACCCAAAGCTCAGTATACTGCGAGCTGCAGCTCGCGGTATACTGAAACGCCACAGCCGGAACCGATCCCGACATTTCTGTCTGGATCCACCCAGCTGCGTGAGTGACAGCTGGCTCTGCCTATCTAGAAGTCCTATCTTCATGTGTGAAGTCCTCCTTTGTTGAAGTCCCTCTCTCTCGGTCAAAGTTCCAATGTAATATCCCCTGACATCTCTCTCTCTCTCAAAGTCCCATGGTGAAATCCGAAATTCACTTTTTAGCTACTGGCTTTTATTAAGACAAATTGGCAGCCCACTTGTGGGCGGTGCCCTCAAGGCTTGTACGAGAGCCTATGCAACTTGTATTTCACTTTT